TGGAGAGACAGACCTGCAGTGTCAGAGCCAGACTCTCACAGCCCAAGGAGTGCAAGCTGCGCTGAGGGGCAGTGACCGAGCCCCCCCCATGTGGCCCAAGGAGCGCAGACCCTGATCTGAGCTGCAGACCTACAGTGACCAGAGAGCTAAAGGGGTCAGAGAAGCAACACAAAGATCTGGAAGTCTGGCAAAGCAGCACAGTCTGTAGCTGGGTATGGTGAGCAGCTGGAACCAGCAAAGCGGGGAGAAAAGGCCCTGGCCAGGGACACGCCACCAGCCAAGAGGCACTGCAGGCCAGACTTTGAGAGGAATTGTAACTCAACTGGGAGAGGGGTCCTACCACCTAGAGCCTGAGGCCATGTAGTCACTGCCAAAGCAAGCATGTCCAACCTGCAGCCCCCCTGCAGCACAGCCAGGGCCTGAGAAAGAGCCCTGGGACCTGTAAGGAACAGATTGTGAATTGTCCTTACACTCTGCAAACTGCTGTTTGTGATGTTCCCATACTACAGAGCAGGACTATGTGTTCTCATTTAACCTGTCTTGTTTTTCCTTATTCTTTTCTTTTTAATCAGTTGTTTAATAAATTCTATTCGCTTTGAACTGTATGTAGTGATCACTGGGTCAAGAAAGCATGCAGTGTGTAGAGAGCACCCCAGAGTGGGGACACCCTAGCTCCTGCCCCAAGTGACTACAAGGTCCGGGATTAAGCCCCAGAAAACCTGGGCCCAACCTTGTTGGGATTTCGAGGACTTTGCTACTCAGAGTAGAAGGGGAACCCTAAGGGTCAGGGAGGACTTTGGGTAAAAAGTGGGAGCGGGGACACAGTTCCTTTCGCTTGTCCATTTCACCAGTGTAGTATAGAAGCCAGGAAAGTTCCCCACAATAGTGGGACCATTCCCCTGCTTACATGTGGGCCAATTTTCCAAAAGGCTTCAAGATGGACTCCTTCTTTGTGCATGTGCATGTGTTATGTTTCTGTACATTATATATTAGATCTGGTTGAAATTTTTTGAACAAAATTCGTTAATTCTACAATTGATCTCTTCATATATGTGTGGAAAATCCTCCCCCCCAGATATTTTGCCAATCCCCCCCCCCCGCCATTTCTACTGAAAAACAGTCTTTTAATTATATTATAGACATTTTAATAATATTTAAAATGTTGGAAAAAATATTTTTAGAAGTTGTGAAAAAGCAAAACATTGAGCCCATTTCAAATACAGGCAGTCCCCGACTTACGCGGATCCGACTTATGTCGGATCCGCACTTACGAACGGGGCTTTCTCGCCCCGGAGGTCGAGGTAGCGGATTGCTACCTGCGAGCTCCGGGGCGAGAGAGCCCCGTTCGTAAGCTGCTCCGGTGCCCCTGGTCTGCTGGAGACCGTCTCCAGCAGACCAGGGGCACCGGGCGGATTCCCGCGCTTCTTAGGCTTTGC